AATAAAATGTGATAATCACACGTGATAGATCCCTCATGCATATGTAAAAGGCGATGGCGCCACACCTGTGAGCCAGGGCTTGACAAATTTGCTTTTGAATCTAATATCCAGCTGAAAAAGTGAAGCTGGTTTTTTTTTTTTTTTTTTTTTTTTTTTTTTTTTTTTTTTTTTTTTTGCATAGCATGGGTTGTCAGTGCCCAGGGCAAGGCAAGTAATTTGTGAGGTGCAGAATGCAGGACATGGGGTGTAGAAGGGGTCAGAACGCAGGACATGCGGTGCAGAGTGTGGGGTGCAGAACGCAGGACATGGGATGCAGGGTGTAGGACAGTAATGCAATCCCCCTCTCCTGGGTCCTGCATGTTCTGTGCATCCTCCCTGCAGTGTCTAAGAGCAGAGTGCACACAGAGGGCAGCTTCTTTGCATAAAGCAACATGTGCCTCCCTGGCTGGCTCCTTAGCTGGCTGCTTTGTGGGACTGTCTCCATTACTGGAAGGACACTGTAGTCCTTTTTGTCAGCACCTTGTGAGGTTCTCTGTGACAATGCCGAGGCGGCAACATGTTGGCGATTTGGTCCTGCTCCTTCCTCTCTGTTCTGCCAGAGGGCTCTGCAGGGTCACAGGCAGAAGTGGGTGGAAGCAGGAGTTGATGCTGACAGTAATGTGGCTGTGTAAAGGAGAATTAGAAAGATTGGCAGTAGCTCAGTGATGGACACATTATTCAGACCAACAGTGAATGGGCTGACAAAAGCCCAGGCGTCAAGACACAATTTCTAGTTGCCATGGTGACCTGGGATTTTTCGAGCCGTGATGTGAGCTATCACTGTGAATGTCACAGCAAGGATGTGTTAACTCTAAACTGGTAATCTATAAAGGCTTTTAAAGTGTTGTCTATGGAGATCTTTAGGTACTTCAGTTTTTGTGCACTAAAATTCATTAAAGTGGAGTTTTTTCCAAAAAATTTGCGTTTGAAAACCCGCTGCATATTTTTATGTCACATCATAATTGCGCAACAGCCACCATTTATTCCCTAAGGTCTATGCTTACAAAAATATATATGTTTGGGGGTTCCAAGTACTTTTCAAGCCAAAAAAATGATTTTTACATGTAGGAGAGGAATGTCAGAATTAGCCTGGACTGGAAGTGGATAAAAGCTGATCATTGTAAGCACCATTTACAGTCTCAACCCTCTAACTGCTATATCTGCAGGACAGCTTTTTCTGCTGAAAAACAGTATTCCTGGAAAGATCACCAGGTACAAATAAAGGAAAAAAGCCTAAAAAAGAATGCAGCCATCACATGTACAATTGGTAAGCTCAACAATCCATTAAAATCAGTGTATGGTATAATGATCAGTGAAAGACGAATTACTGTTGCTGTGGGTTTCTCTATTTTGCAGTCTTTCATCATATATACAGTATAACTCTTGTGCATATAGCCTTTGAGGACTGTTTTTCTTGGCAAATCTATTTCTGAAATTAAAAATACGAAAAACTATTTTTGTTTTCTGTTGCAGACCATCATCCCTTGCACCTATTCAAGCCGGGTTAATCCACTCCTGAGAAGACAGCAGGTTGATTCTTCTACATTTGAATTCACTCAAACAAAAACACCCCAGCTTTGCACCAAACAGACATCTATGTATGCCTTTTTTACACAAAAAGGTAACGACAACTTCTAAACCCAATCGCTTAAACCAAATATGATGGTTCACATGTTCTGTACTGCCAAAATGCATGGTCCTTATAATTAATATATAAACAGGCAATATAAGTATATTCATACCAGAAAGATGTATCTAGACACTCTGGGGTAGATTTTCTAAAGCTGGAGCACTCACAATCTGGTGCAGCTGTGCATGGTAGCCAATCAGCTTGCTACCTCAGCTTATACAATTAAGCTTTGGCAATAAAACCTAGAAGCTGATTTTGCACTGTCCAGTTTTAATACATAAACCCCTCCCTGTCCTAGGTAAACAGCTCTTTGGCCCCATGCACACTGAAGGTTGAGGCTAGGTTCCCATCTGTGCGGGTGGTGCCGCTGCGGATCCACACAAAAATCCATGCAGCCGCACCACCCACACAGAGAAATGCGCCGCCCGCACTGGCAATCGCAACCATACTGGGAACCGAGATTCCAGTGCGGGCTGCGTTTTCAGAAGAAATTCAGAGACTTCTTCCCTGAGTGTCCCGGGGCAAAGGAGTCTATTCAAATTAATGGGCTCTTGTGCCTGCGCAAAACGCGGACTGCAGGAATATGGATATGTACAGTAAACCAGGGGTCAGCACTGATACATGAGTCTCTGCCCTTTGGCTGGAGGTGGAGGGCACAGGTGCTCCATTCAGCCCCATCACTTGCAGTCTGACAAATTTCTGCTGCAACTAGACAGTTCATTTAGTCTTACTAACGATTAGGGAAGTATGTACACAGGGATCAATGTCCAGAATGCATGAAGTCTTACAAATTAATCACTTCTCTACCAAAGTACATTTATGAATGTCATGGTAGACAAGTTGTTAAATTAAGGTCACAGCTGTGAGTTTGGTACCGATACCTTTTTAAGAGTCAGCGAAGGGCTTTCTAATAAGTGAATAGAACGCTCAAAAGGACCCCCCCCAATGGCAGCCTGTGGTGGTCCCCAGTCTCTTCTGCTCCATCGCAGGAGTTTGAGATTGCTTCCCTGGTATTTCCCCATCCATTCCTCGATCCCTTCTGTGACTAGTAACATCAGAAGCAATGCATCACAGCTGTCCTCCTTTGGCTAATGTAGCCAAGGGTCAAGCTATTACAGCTTGATCTGTGCTGGAATAGTTGCAATGGAGGGCAGGGATGACATTGTTGGTCTAATAGACCCCCAATGTCTCTATAGAGAACCTGTCACCTGCTCATGCCCTCTATGTGATGACCATATTTTTTTTTTTCTGAAAACATGCTTTATTCTCCAGGGTTTCTGCTTCAAGAATATATATACTTTGGGAGGTTTACACTATTTTGTAGCAAAAATTGCAGATTTTCACATTTGTGCAAAAAAATTGTCCTGGTAGGCAAGAGGTTAAGCCTAACATGCAAAATAACCCTTTTCCTGCCTGCCACCAGGACTGTGTACATCTGACAAGCAGATTCCTGCCTATCAGATGGAAGCATTCTGGCATCTGCATTGCCACTCTATTGCTTCCACCCCCCCCCCAGTAAAGTGCGTCTTTTAGACCCAGGATGTCTCATTAAAGAGAACCTGTCACCAAAAAAATCATATAAGGGACTTTGTCCCCTATGTGATTGGAGGGGGGTGTTAAATTAAAAATAACGTAAACGCATGTGTCAGGGCACCTACACATGAAAACATAGATTGTGATACATGTGTTGCATAATGCCACTTACGCTAGAGTAAGAAATATTTCTAGCACCAGAACTCGATAACGCCAAACTGATGAACTATAGGGGGCTTTTAAAGCATTACCTATTGAAAATATAAGGTACTGAAGTTTGCCGCCATTTCACGGGTGCACGCAAATTTAAGGTTTGAAATGCTGGGTATCCATTCAGAATAACCTCATCTTTTATATTTTACCAATTTGGTATTTTATTATGTTTGTGTGCCCTAAAATTAATTTGTATTTTTTACTGAAATTTTTGGGTAATGTTGCGTGACAAAAAATTGCAACTACCACTATTTTATTCTCTAGTGTCTGCTTTCAAAAAATATGTTTTGGGGTTTATGCATTCTTCAGGCTTAAAATTATTTTTTTTTTTTTAAACGCATGCAAAAATGGCTCCGGCAGCAAAAAGGTTAAATTTTAAAAAAAGTAAAATCAAACAAGAATAGCTAAGGGTAAAATAGGAAGGAGGGGTTAGTTGTTTAGGATAAGCTAAGGGTTGATAAGACAGAGATTTTTATTAAGTAAAAACTTTTTTTTTGCTTTACCCAACAACATATCGGTTTTAAGCTCATCACTTTAAAGCACACCTCTGGGCAAAATGTGTTTCCCATGCAATGGGACTGTTTGTTTTTTTGTTTTCTCCTTTCTAGGGGAGAGGGGAGCAGTCTTGTTTAGTGGTCTGTTCCTGGTGCTCTGAAGCTCTGAGCAGACTCCATATACAGGAACAGTCTGTCGTTGGACTGTGCGGGAATGCCGTTTTTTGAAGGATGGGGTGACAAAAGGCTTTCTACTCACCATAGACAAAACAAGCAGTTGACCCATGCAGTGTGGGAACAGCCCTATTGCAAAAATGTGTTTGCCCAGAGATGGGCTCTAAACTGCAGATGAAAGGAACAGAGTAAATATAAAACAATGTTGGTTAGTACTTCTGTACCTCCTGTCTGAACAGTGTTTGTAAACATATCTTTTTTTTTTTTTTTTTTTTTAAATTTAAGTTGTGTTTACACAGCGACTCCCAGCTGTAATTTTTGACAACTGAATATTGCCTTCAAATGTGAGAGGTGATGGGGCATGCTACATACCTTGTAAATGTCAGTTTTTTTTGTTTTTTTTTTTTGTCCACAACTGGTTAAATATTCTGCGATACAAATTGTAGGATCTCTTATGGAGGTCATCTGAAAAAATGTCAGTAATGTGCCATCAGTACAACTTGCCGTTTGGTGAGTTCTCATGTGTTTCTGTGGCCTGTGTTTGGTTATTTAGTGGGCAAGAGTTCTCTCGCAAGTAGTGTTCTGGAGGAAAAACTTGCAAACGAAATTGCCTGGTAAGAACTAAAGTTGACTGTAGGGCATAGGATAACATAGGGTATGCACTTGTATAGGGCTGATCTTTCAGGATCAAGCAATAAGGCTAATCGGATCTCTTTGGAGGCCCTACATCCTTGTGTGGTCAGCCAATTTGTTGAACAGCTTATCGTTTGGGAAACGGTAACAATCAGGTTTTCCAATCAATTATTTGGGCTGGATGGATAGAGGCACAATGACATACTGCAGGGGTCCTTAAACTTTTTAAACGGGGCCAGTTCACTGTCCCTCAGACCGTTGGAGGGCCGGACTATAGTTGTTTAAAAAAAAAAAAAAAAACTATGAACAAATGTGGACACAGTACAGGAGATGACCAGAGACTGCGGACACAGTACAGGAGATGACCAGAGACTGCGGACACAGTACAGGAGATGACCAGAGACTGCGGACACAGTACAGGAGATGACCAGAGACTGCGGACACAGTACAGGAGATGACCAGAGACTGCGGACACAGTACAGGAGATGACCAGAGACTGCGGACACAGTACACAGACACTGCGGACACAGTACAGGGGAGACCAGACACTGACCAGTACAGACCAGACACTGCGGACACAGTACAGGGGATGACCAGACACTGCGGACACAGTACAGGGGATGACCAGACACTGCGGACACAGTACAGGGGATGACCAGACACTGCGGACACAGTACAGGGGATGACCAGACACTGCGGACACAGTACAGGGGATGACCAGACACTGCGGACACAGTACAGGGGATGACCAGACACTGCGGACACAGTACAGGGGATGACCAGAGACTGCGGACACAGTACAGGGGATGACCAGACACTGCGGACACAGTACAGGGGATGACCAGACACTGCGGACACAGTACAGGGGATGACCAGCGGACACAGTACAGGGGATGACAGAGTACACAGTACAGGGGATGACCAGAGACTGCACAGGACACAGTACGGACTGCGGACACAGTACAGGGGATGACCAGACACTGCGGACACAGTACAGGGGATGACCAGACACTGCGGACACAGTACAGGGGATGACCAGACAGGGGATGACCAGAGACACTGCGGGGATGACACAGTACAGGGGATGACCAGACACTGCGTGTGTCTTATGGAGCGGACCCAGTACAGGGGATGACCCCAGACACTGCGGACACAGTACAGGGGAGATGACCATCGAGACTGCGGACATACAACGTTGCGTGCGGGAATACTGGGTGTCAGTGGGAGGAATAGTACCGCATCCATAAGAATAGTGCGCACAGGGGATTTCCCACCAAGTGATAGTGTCCCGTTATGGAGCCCCGGAATAGTGCCCCATCATGGGGGAAGGGGATAGTGCCCCGTCAGTGGGGGAAGGGGATAGTGCCCCCGTCAGTGGGGGAGGGGAATAGTGCCAAGTCATCGTTGTGTTCCGTCAGTGGTGGGGGGAAGGGGATAGTGCCCCATCGTTGATGTCAGTGGGGAGGAATAGTGCCCCCATCGTTGGTGTCAGTGTCGGTGGAGGAATAGTGCCCCATCGTGTGGTGTCAGTGGTGTGAGGAATAATGCCCCGGGAGGAATAGTGCCCCATCGTTGGTGTCAGTGGGGGAATAGTACACCCATCGTTGGTGTCATGGTGGGAAGAATAGTGCCCCCATGTCCGACACTTCACCTCAGCTGGCCTTCTTCACTCCAACCTCTCCCTCACTCGATGTTCGCTCCGCCTCCTCGCAGGTGATTGGCCACCTGTATGCCTTTCCTGAGCTACAGTTCTGGCGCCCAATCACCGGAGAGGAGGTGGAGTCGAGTGGCAGGAGTGAGGGAGTGGCCAGAGTGAATGAAGGAGCAGTGCTTCCTGGACTGGATCGTCGTGGGACTGGGACCGGAGCCAGGTAAGGTACAGCAGCCCCCTGCCCTGTACTTAGTGTCCCTTCCTGTCCCGCCCCTGCCGGCGGGCCGGATAAATGGCCTCGGCAGGCCTCATGTAGCCCGCAGGGCCGTAGTTTGAGGACCCCTGACATACTGTATAAGATGGTATTCTGTTCTGTCCAAAAATGGCCAGATCAGATGACTGTAAATTGCATGTCTGAAGGTGTCTTAACCCTCATTTTCCTTGTGCGTTCTAGAGATTTTGCTCCACCTTGGAGGGCAAAACATTAGTTGCATACTTCAAGGATCCTAAATGTGTGAAATCTGAAAGTTAAAAGAAAAAAAGATGGAATGTGTTGGGTGTTTTTTGTATGCTCCCGAAGACTCCTAGGATGTATGACATCATTTGGCATAGGCCAGAAACTAGGAAGCAACCGAAGAAATGTGTAGTAAATAAAGTATACCTTCCTACCAATTTTCTAATGTTAGCAGCATAAGGAGAAAAAAGTAGTTAATTATACATATTGATAATATCAATGATCTATATAGTGCATAAAGTCTAAATAATTCAGTCTATCCAGTGATCACCACGTGAAAAAATCAGGAATAATTCATAAAAATAAATCGTTAGGGTTCATCAAATAATCACCACGTGATTACTTGTGCAAAAAATTTTTTTATATAAATCTGTGTAGTGCTCTCCTCTCAGGCATGCACTCACCAAACAGTGTTGCCTCCCACTCTCATGGTTGGCACACTGAACTTTGGTAAATAATCCTCCAAGGACCAGATCAAGTAATTCTCCATTCATCCTGTAATACTGGACTCCTAGGATAACCGCTCCCGATCTCCAAGGCAAATAAATCTTCCTTTCAATACTCCACTCATAATATATCATATAGAAGATAAAAAAAAAGAGAGAGCCCCACATGGTGCAGTACCATTTTTAAACCATTTATTCTCCACAGTGAATACTACTTACAAGATGCAAAAAGTATTAAAGCCCATAGATGTTAATAGCTTATGTTTCTTATGAAAAGAAAGCTGGAACAGTGCTCTCACCACCGCCGGCCTTCGTTCAGTGATGCGTCACGTCCGGTCGCTGCACAGCCTTGCTCTGATGCGTTTTGTGACTTCCGACTTATTCATAGGGGATGGCTGTGCGGTGTAACACCTTTTATGGTGTGTTCAATCAATGTAACGGAGCCCCTGATAGGCTGACGTTAGTGATCCCTCCTGCTTCACACTTCTGCCCATGTATTGGTGGAAATACCTTACCCTATACCTACAACAGGAGGGCTAATTAATCAGACCTTAATATGCCACCAATGAGCGGAATATTCCTCCCATATTTTGGCAATGGATATATATTATTTTACCAAAAGATGTATAGTTTAAGCTTTTGACCGAATTGTAATCCCAAACATGTATTATAATCACATATGCATATATGTTCCACATTTAAACCACCTGGTGTTAAAGATTTTAGCAGGAAAATCAATTTAGTCTCCCTCTGCGACAGATCTTACACTTAGATTCCCTCCATTTTGGGGGAATCCAATCTACCCCCTAAATGGAGGGGATCTAATAGAGTGCTAAAATCTTTAACACCGGGTGGTTTAAATGTGGAACTGGACATAAACTGCTTCATAAGTGATTTGTAATCTAGCTGCTGAATGGAGTTGTTTATGTTCGGTGATTATTTTATGAGCGATACAATGGAAGCGCTCAGTGGAAATACTGATTGAGGGTTGGAATTATTTACTTCTCTAATTTTGTTTATTAAATTTTTTATTAAAATATTTACATATATAATTTTTAATGTTAATTTAATTTTATTTGTTTAATAAATCTTGTAATACAAGTAATATACAATATTTTATGTGAATTTAATATGAATTTATATTGTTAAATATGTAATATATGAATTGCCATTCAAACCCAACAAGGTTTATTAATACCAAGATATGCATATGTGATTATAACACGTTTGAGATTATAATTAGGTCAAAAGTTTAACCTATATATCTTTTGGTAAAATTATATATATCCATTGCCATAATATGGGAGGAATATTCCGCTCATTGGTGGCATATTAAGGTCCAGTTAATTTGCCCTCCTGTTGTAGGTATTGTGATGATCGCGGCATCAGACCCCAGACCTTCTCACCAAAACTCGTGACCGAAGGACTAGCCGATCTAAAACCGCGCTGTCACGTGCGTAACAATGCCCCGCCCAGCTGCACCCTGCAAAAAGATTTTCCAGCTAATGGACCACAATCGATGTACCTGCAGCCTGAGAGCGATTGTTACTGGGTCAGGTTAATTACTCATTTAACCCTTCACACTGCCACCACCTCCTTTTTGTACAGAGAGGAAACTCGGCAATATCAGCAATAACACTATGATGTTTGAATAATCATCAGTATACCACTGTCACCGCAGGCAGAGGCAGGGATTCTTAGTTTGCATTAAAGAGCTTTAGAAACAGTTCAACACTTTCAGAAAGTAAGATTTATTACTAAAAGGTCAAAAGGGTGCAATAAAATTTACAGAAAAAGATGTAGCATATATATATATATATACACACACACACACACACACACACACACACAGAACAATAGCACAGCAAAGAGATAACAGAAGTTTAGAGGGATCAAGTACTTGCCGTCATCCTTGGGTTAAGCAGATCAGGTTTCAGAGCCAAAAGGGTCTTATCTCCCAAAGTTAGTTCCGATGTTAAAAAAAGGGAGAATCTTCAACTTATCTCAGCTTAGCTTAACTTTATCTAGGAACTCAGCAGGGTGTCTCTCCGAAGCAGAGAACCAATCGCCTCATTTGGGCCGTTGTGGCAGGCGGAGACGCAAGCTATGACCAAAAATCCCTCCTAGCTTATATTATGGTTCATAACTTACCCTGGATACATATAACATTCTATCCATGAGTAGATTAATGCGCAGAATCTTCTGCTGAACGTCTACATATGAAATATGAGATACCTGCTTGGATGGTTAAGGAGAAATAATTTTCTGCTCTTCTGTATATGCCAGCTAGGGGGTGTAATATACCAGGTGACTTGTCTTAAAGTGAGCCGTCTGAATATGTGCTCCCTGTTTATGTAATTATATCCTATTTGAAGATATAAAACTATATGGAAAAGTGAGTTTTTAAATGTAAGTCTGTTTTTACGACTACCTGGAACATCTTTGAAGCTCCCTGAGGGCTGGGGTTTATGGTTTTACGATCCCTTCTCTAGCAAGAGTCTCGCAGACATAGGGGCACCATGAGGTGAGGTTTATAGCCATGACACCCTCCCAATGAGTTTGCTGCCTGTGATCTCTGTCGTCATCCAGACCACATGCCACTCAACAGAGAGGGAGGGGGGATATCGGAGGAATCTGATTTGAGAGAGATACAAAATGGAGGGGTTTGGAGCAAAATGGATGACCGCGTCCATCTCTGTGTGCATGATTGCTACAGGTAATGGGTAAGGTATTTCCGCCAATACATGGGCGGAAGTGTGAAGCAGGAGGGATCAGTAATGTAAGCCTATCAGGGGCTCTGTTACATTGAATACACCATAAAGGTGTTAGGCCGCACCGCACAGCCCAGCCATCCCCTATGAATAAGTCGAACGTGACGAAACACGTCAGGGCGAGGCTGTGGGACGACCGGAAGTGATGCGAATCCGTCACTGAACGAAGGGTGGTGGTGATGAGAGCACTGTCCCGGCTTTCTTCTCATAAGAAACATAAGCTATTAACATCTTTGGACTTTAATACTTTTTTTTGAATCTTGTAATTAGTAGTCTACTGTGGAGAATAAATGGTACTGCACCATGTGGGGCTCTCTCGTTTTTTATCTTCTATATGATCTATTATGAGGGGCAGCACGGTGGCTAAATGGTTAGCACTTCCGCCTGGCAGTACTAGGGTCGTTGGTTCGAATCCCAGCCACGGCACCACCTG